CTGTAATGTGGAGATTGATCGGGACTGGGGGCTACCAGCACGCCGCTTGGCACTTCCCCTGCCTGATAAAGATGACAGATTAAGGGGATAAAAAAAAAAAAGAGGGGGGGGGAATTAACTTTAGCTGTCAAAGGCCGGCAGGGGCTGTGGGGGGAGGGGGTGGGCAGCCCCGTGATTGACGGGGGACATTTCAGGGACAACGAGGTTGCCACCCCTGGGCATCTGCGAGCCAAGATGGCGTCTCTGGGCCGCGAGGTGTGAGAAAGTCACGCGGTGCCGATCCTACGCCTGGCATAGGATTGGCCCGTTGCCCAACAGAGGTGATAAACCGGGAAAGGTGGAGAATATATGGAGAGCTGGCACCCGGCGGGCGAGACCAGGAGACAGCTGGCAACCTCGCAGGTTGAGTGGCTCCTTTCAGTGGACAGTTTTTGCAGCTTTTATGAAAGGAAAAGGTGGAAAAGGTGTAGTTCAGAGATGGGGAATGATGCCCCCCTCCCCCTTTATGACTTGTGGACTTCAACTCCCAGAATTCCTGAGCCAGGGATTCTGGGAGTTGAAATCCACAGGTCCTGAAAGGGCCGTCGTTCTCCATCTTGGGTAGAGTTGAAGGATTCTAAGTCTTAAGCATTTGTTAGACAGGGTTGTGGGGGGGGGGAGAGAAAAGGGTGTGCTATTTTTATCTTAAAAAGATGAATCTAATTCTTAAATTCTTCATCTTCTTAAAAGGTGGATTCTGAGATTTGTCTTTTTTTAAAGGCAACCTTAGAGCTGTGAGGGGGAAGAGGGAATGGAGTTGGCAGAGAGAGAGAGAGAGACAGAGAGAGAGAGACAGGCAGAGCCTGGGGTGTCTGTCAGCCTTCAGATGGAGAGTCCACAGCCTCCAGGTCTGGAGGCGGCTGATGAGGAACAGCTGGGTCCATTGCCTGACACAGATGCACAGAAGGCAGAGGAGAGGAGAACAGTGGAAATCTATGGGCTGGTCCTTGGGACGGACGAGCCATCACTGCTAGTGACATCCCACCCTAGCTCTGGGGATAAAAGGAAGGGGGCAGAGATGGATAGATGTGGCACACAACTATTCATTGTCAGGATTCCGGCTAGTTACCCCCAATTAAATCGTGAGTCTCGAGTCAAACTTCCAAAACCTAAAAAGGATTTATTGGGAGTTAACATGTCTGGCATTGCCTGGGTATAGCCGACTCCGAGACACATAATTCATCATCAACCTTGACCCTAGTTTTCCCCCACCCCTCTGGGCGTATCATAATTCATATATTCTCCAATGGGACACATCCCTAGCCCAGAGTCATCAATCATGATCTCCAGTTAGAATTTTGCCCGGCAGAAACTTCAGTCACCTAGTTACTATCTTCGAAAACATTTATCGAATGCACTTTCGATTTCCAAGCTGCCGCATTGCTCTTTCAAACCCCTCCCCCCCCCTCTTTCTGTTGGCAATTCTAAAAAGACTCTAAAAATATTTTATGAGTTGACATTCATCTCCTGGCTGGCTGGACTTAGTTAGTCTGCGGCGAGAGACAAAACTTTTTTGCCGGAGCTGCTGGTGCTCCTAATGAAGGAATATTTTGAGTTAACTTTCCGAGGGTTTGTCGTGTTTGGTGAGCTGGAACAGAACTGTTGTAAGTCGAGGACTACCTATGCTTGGAAGGATAGCTGGTGTGTGGATGTTTTCCTTTGGACCTTGGATTTGAAGATGTTCTCATTCCCTGGTCAGTTTCTCCTTCATCGGACGATTGGGACTATCGCCAATGATGGTGCCCCTCCGATTGATGGCGATCTTGGTCTCCACGAAGACCTGGTTTGATGGATCTTAGCTTGATGAGACCCAGGCAAGAAAAGCGAAGGGATATGGAGGTCTTCCTTCATTGCAGTGTCATTGTGATCTCCTCTAACCCTAGCTGGGAATCTGGATTTTTCGGAAAGGCTCATCCGAGGCTCAAGAGAATTTGTGGCCTCCACATTTCTGATGGGAAAGCTAATTTGGTCCTTCTTTGGAAAAAACGGTCTTTGCTTCAAATGAGATTTAAAAGCAGACCTTTCCCAACGGGGGAAAACTCATTTGTACACATTTGCGCTCAGGGTTTATGGTCTGTGAATGTGTGGCGAGCAGATGTGAGAGTTGGGATTTATTTCTGAATCTTTGATCATAAAAGCCCAGATTTGACTACCGTAGGCGTCTTCTCTTGTCATTATTAGCTTGGCTTCTCTTTCTATTTACTGTTTTCTTTTTATTTATTACGTTCGGCTCTTGGCAGCCCACACGGAAAAAAAAAACCAAAACAAAACTTAAGCATCAAGAATCAAACATGCAGCTTTGCGCATCCAGGCTTAGATTAGCAGTCCTGGAGATAATTAAGATTCTCACTGGTTTTCAGAGGAACCCTGGTTGTCAGAGCCCAAACATATGTTAGATTTCTTTCAGACCATATTTTTCTTTTCAGGGAATAAAAAAAAGAAAAAACCCTGGTTGAGCATTGCACAGAAAAACCTGCTCTTGAAAATGTTTATTCAAGCTCTCATTCATCCTAATTACCGAATCTGCACTCTTGTTCATCACCTGTGTTCATGAGGGTTTATTTTCCAATATTTGTAGCCCACTCTGGTTGAAATAGACTCTTGACTGGGCACCGTGAATTCAAAAACGAAATCAAGATATTAAAATCCCCGTGCCAGGATTAAAAACGACCTGTAAAAACTTAACCCACTGTTGTTGCCTTCCTAGATGGTTTACCTGGTAAACTGTAGGTAAACTAAACCTCTCTGTCATGCCCCTGTCAGAATCTGATTCGGAGGGGGAGGCTGAGCAGCTGACAGGGAGTGGGAGTGTGGCTCTGGGTAGCTGTGGAAGAAACTGGGGAAGGGCACAGTCTGGCTGGGCAGAGCAGGGGAGAGGTAGAGCAAGGGAGAGGAATTTGGAGGACGACCCAGGCCCACCCACCCCTCTTCATCCTAGGGCACACAAGAAGGAACGGAGAAGGGAGCAACATGGCTTACAGGGAAGGAAAAGGCCTTGATCCCCTGTATGGGCTGCAGCTGGAAAGACTGTTTAAAAGGGCAAACTGCACATGGCAAAGTTGCTGGAAGCAAAGCGTGTATTATTTTGGTCAAGGCTTATCTGGGTTTTGGCGTCCTCCCTACTGTAGTTGCTGCGTTATCCTTTGGAAGTCTGCAATTTATCATCCTGGCCCGTTGTGTTAATTACTTCAGTGTGGTTTGTGTTGGGTTTTTTTTAAATTTCTAATTATCTTTACTTTGGATTCGGACTGCGTTTCTTCCCTTTGTAGACTGTTCTTTGAAGAGTTTGATCTCCAGCCGAGGATAATTGGACACTGGGGGGCCAAGTTGGAGGCATTAAAGGAAATTTATTCTATTTTTGTGACTTGGTTATTTTTGTGTCACGCCCCGGGTCATCACACAATGCCTCAGACTACACCGCCCATCCTCCTTGGCAAGTTTGGCAGGGGGCTCTTTCACCTCTGTTTTTGGGCACCCCCCCCACAAAAAAACCTTTAAATTATGATGGGTGCCACGGGGTTTATAGACAAACCCCATCGGTGGGCTTCTATTTAAACATCCCATGGCGAAATCAACGCCGAATTAAAGCGAATAAAATCCACGTCGGGCCCCGTTAAATTCCATAACCTCTAACTTTGCATGCTGATTAAAACAAGGCAGATGGGGAGGGGAGGGGAAACCCCCCACCCACCCACCATTTAAATAACCCAATTTGCATATTTTTTTAAAAAAAATCCCCTTTCAGTTTCTTGCAGTTGTGGTGTTGGTGAGGCAAGGAAATATTCCCAGCTCTTTTTAAAATCCGCACGCTCGTTCAACCTCGAATCTTGGCTTCTCCTTAAACAGAAAGGAACCTGGCTTGCACATCTATGGCTTGTTTTGCACAAGTTTTTTTTTTTTTTTTGGAAAGAAATTGAGGGGGGGGGGGGAGGGGGGCGAGGGGAGAGAGAGAGAGAAAAAGATTGGATGAGAAGAAGCTTAGAAGCCTAACAAGGATGAATTCTTTTCGCTGGCCCCCTATTCCACGGGTTTTCAATTCCCACCCCAGCCTTATTATGAAAGAATATTGATTTTTTTTTCCTCTTTTTTTTTTATGTGCATGGGAAAAGAAGGGCAACGTGGGGTGGGAGTGTAATTGTGGATTATATATTTTGCACTGGCTGGCAGGAGGGAGGAGTTTGACCCTTCCTCAAAAGGTGGGGCGGGGGGGGGATTGAACCTGCAGAGACGATGGAGGAAGATCAGGGGCTGTACATTAGAGTGAAGGGGGGGGAGGAGAAATTCCCCCCTATTCCTCCCCCTCCCCAGAACACCCCCCCCCCTCCCATGTTTTACCTCAAGGCTCAGGAAGCCTCCGGGGGTTGGGGGGAAATGCAAGGGAGCCCATCAAATGATGCAGTTAAGTAAGGAAATAAAAGTAGATTATTATATATTTTTTTTGCAAATTTATGGCTGGGAGCCTTCGGCATCGATCAGCAGCTGCACACTCAAGGAGGGCTGGGAGCCGGGTTAGGGAAATGCTCCCAGCCACGAGCCTCCCTCGCTTTCTTTTCCTCAGCTGCATTGGGGGGGGGGGGGGGGTATCTGTTTGGGGGGGGGGGCTGTGTGTTGTGTGAGTGTGTGTTTGCAAGCCTCAAAAGGCTCACAGATTGTGGTAGAGGAGACACGGTGGACAGTGTGCCTAATTGTGCGTTTCCAGCTGACATTTTTTTTCCCTTCTCTTCCTCTCTTTTCCTCCCCTCCCCTTCTCCTCCTTTCCCTTCCCTCTCTTTTTCTTCCTTCCTTCCTTCTTTCTCTCACCTTTCTCTTCCCTCCCTTCCTTGGTTCCTCCCTCCCTCCTTTCTCTTACCTTCCTCCCCTCCCCTTCTCCTCCTTTCCCTTCCCTCCTCTCACCTCTCTTCCTCTCTCTTCCCTCCTTCCTTCCCTCCTTTCTTTTTTCCTTCCTTCCCTCCCCTTTCTAGATGAAGTTTTAGGCAAAAGGAAAATCTGTGTGCCAGGTAGCAACGGAGACTGTCTTTTGGAGAGCAAAAAATCTCGAAGCGAATCCCCAAAAGGTGAGAAAAGGAAATTCTCTTATGATTTGGTAGTGGAGTTGTATTTGCTTTCTTTTTGGAAGGAAGGAAGGAAAGAAGGAAGGATTCATTTCCAGGCTCCTGTCTTTGAGAAGATTTATTTTCAAAATTATTTTGAACTTTAATCAAGTCTGTCTGGCCTACTTCCCCTCTTTATTCAAATTTATTACCAGTTAACAATCTTTTTGGAGTATTTTCCAGATAGGTCATCCTTCCCTTCCTCCTTAAGGTTTGCTAAAAATGTGGTGCCCTGAATCCTTCTCCTTGTTTTCTCTTCCCCTTCCTGCCTCTTAAGCCCTCTTTCCCAACCAGCAAAGTTACGGGTGGTCCTCGCTTAACAACAGTCCGAAGTTAAGGACAGCCTCAGAAAGGGTGCTTTTGTGGGTCTGCAAAGGACTTTCGACCGTCGCAAAACATGCCCAGTCAAATGATTTTCGGGGGGCTTGGCAACTGCCTCGCATTTGCAGCAAAAATAAAAATAAAACCCACCGGGTGTGCTGGATTTGTTTATCAACCACTGGAGTTGCTTAAAGACCATAGGATTTGCTTTGCAACCGTCATAAAAATAGTTGGAAACTCAAGCCACACCAATAATACAATGAGGGTAGTAGTGCCCCTTGCGGGTGTAGACTTCCAGATGGCACAGGCTCCTTCGTGACATTAGCAAAAGCAAGCAAAACTCTCCTGTTTTTATTATCCTACTTCCACTTTATTTGGGGGGGGGGTGTCAAGTCCCAAGAGGGAGATTTGAACCTTGCGTAGGGGGAACGCTCTCGTCAGTGAGTCCAGCTGCAAGTCCACTTGGATTGGCGAGGGACACTGAGAAACACCGAAGGATGGAGGAAGCCCACCTCTCTCTTAATCTCCCTAGATTTGGGGTGCGTGCGTGAAAACTTACCCTCCCTTACTGATAAAAATCATACTGGAAAATCCCAAAGCAATTTTGGCTTTGTTTTTGTTTTGTTTTAATCGGTTAAATGCAACCTACAATTTGCAAAGTGGCCCCCTTCTCTTTGAACTTCTAAAAGCCTTTTCCATATGAGTAGGGGGCCTGAAACACCCCCCCCTTTTCAAACCCCCTCTTTCCTTTCCCTCTTTCCACTGGTAAATAGGCAGCTGTCAATAAGGCCGACTGGGGCTCGCTCTCAGCATGCTAATATCCAAGGGGTCCTTAAGCCTCTTTCAAAGGCTGTTTTCTACCATTTTTTTTTTGGATCTGCTCTTGGACGGCAATCCTTGGATATTTTCTTTGCTAATTCTCCTTTTTCACCCCTTCCTCCTCCTTTCCGTGCACACACACAAATGCAACACACACACACACACACGCTCCAGGCTCCCGCTGCATCCTCTGAAAAATTAATCAAGGTGATAGCGGTTTAATCTATCTCGCGGAGACGCTGAGCTTTAATCAGGCTTTGGCGAAGCCCAGCCATCTATCGCTTGGGGATCAATGCCACGCGCGCGTCCCATTGTCCCTCCTCCCCTCCTCAAACTGGAGTCATTCCAGCCCCCCCCCCCGCCCCCCCCCCTCCCCCCCCCCCCCATTGGAGTTGTGATCAATCACCTTGGCTGTCCCCCCCCCCTCGTCCTCTCTCCCCCCCGTCCCCCCCCACGGCCAGCTTAATTATTTTATTTTTAATCGATCGGTTGATTAAATGTTTACGCCTCCCAACTTGGGGAGCGAGGTTTCGCAAATGAAACACACAGAACTATAAATTAATACAAGGATAAAAAACAAAGGGGACACACACACACACACACACACACACACACGCACACACACACACCCTGGATAACTCACGCTGCCCTTAGCTGGATTTGCAGTTTAAGAGAAAAAAGATTTGGGGAGTTTTTTCTTGGATAGAATAGAGTAGAATAGGGAATAGGGAATAGGAGTAGAGTAGAGTAGAGTAGAATAGAATAGAATAGAATAGAATAGAATAGAATAGAATAGAATAGAATAGAATAGAATAGAATAGAATAGAATAGAACAAAGAATTGGAATAGAAATAGGAATAGAATAAATAGAGAATAGAATAGAGAATGGGAATAGAATAGGGAATAGGAATGGAATGGAATAGAATAGAATGGAATAGAATAGGAGAAAGAGAATAGAATAGAATAAAAGAATAGAATGAGAAAGAATAGAATAGGAAAGAATAGAATAGGAGAAAGAGAATAGAATAAGATAGAACAGAATGAGAAAGAATAGAATAAGAAAGAATAGAATAGAATGAGAAAGAATAGAATAGGAATAAGAATAGAATAGAATAGAATAGAATAGAATAGAATAGAATAGAATAGAATAGAATAGAATAGAATGAGAAAGAATAGAATAGAATAGAATTCTTTATTGGCCAAGTGTGATTGGACACACAAGGAATTTGCCTTGGTGCAAATACTCTCAGTGTACATAAAGGAAAAGAGACATTCGTCAAGAGTCGAGAATTGAGAGTCAGGATGGCTCTCGGGTTTGGGGGGGTCTGAGCCTGTCGTGGCCCGTCGGCAGCGGAGGGAGCTGGCAGCCGAGACAGTAGTGAGGAGGCTGGGGGAGAACCAGGCCAGTCTTGGAGGCTGAGGAGGGCTCGGACGAGGGCTCTGCATCAGAGGCAGGGGTGGGGCCATTCTCAAATGTTGGGGGTCACTATGAGCTGCATTGTGTTTCTGAAGCCCTAACCTTTTCCTGCTCCCATCTGATAACGCCGTGATACACTGCCCCTGAACGGAGAAGTTCCACCACATACCATCACCTCTGTTAACTGTGGCTTGGCAGAACCTTATCTTGCCTTCCATAAATAGTGGCTCGTAAAGATTTTATTTTATTTTAATCCCTTCCCTCTGCAGCAATGTCCTTATTGCGCTCAATTTCTTTTTTTTAAAAAAAAAATTGAACATTTTTGCTGGAAGTGGGTGAATTCAGCCAGATTCTGCCCTTGAATCAATTGTGAGAAATCAATCCCATTTGTTTTGCGCATTCGGATCAATTTGAATCTCCCAATCCGGCCTGATTCAATGGTTTTTTTTTTGTGGGGGGGGGATGTCTCTAAAAAACAGGCGCGTAGTTTAAAACCGCCAGAAGCATTGGACGATCCAAATAGTTTTGAATCGATTCGGCCATCGGATGCTTTTCCGGTCGAGGGATCCACGTTCAAAATCCATCTCGGTCCAATGCTATGGACCACCAACATGCCACTGGGCTGACCCACTTCAACCAAGTCTCTCTGAGGCTTTCAAAACATCTGGATATTTTTGCTTCAGCTGTTTCGAGCTTCTCGGGGAGTGGGGGGAAGCAGTGATGTCAAGAGAGGGTGCCACACAGCGTTTCCTGCCCATGTGCGGAGTTTCCTACCTCCCACAATCGACTTCTCTCTCCTCTCTTCTGCTGCGTCTTTGGGATCTGTTCCAACCTAGGCTTCCCAAGATCATGAAGCAGACTCCTCGTCCCGGTAAAACCCCTTTTATTTAGGTTAAAGTGAATTCCTTTCCAGCAAAGTCCTGGCCAACAGTCTTTCTACAGACCTTTTATCAGGCTTGAAGAGTTGCCAGGCCGATAGCTTCCAAACGCCACGCTGCAGCAGAAATTACTTGACAAGAAGTCAGGAACAGATCTTCACACTAATTAAACGAACTAATTGTTCCCTGCAAACAACCCTCCCCTTTTCGCTCCTCTTTTATTCCCTATGGGAGGGGCCATTCACCGTCCACCTGTGGCTTTACTCCAGAGTCGACCCTTGTTCCTTAGCTGTTCCCTTCTTCTGGCAGCTCTGTGCATGAGCACACTGAGAACAGGCTCCAGCTGCTCATCTTCCCCACTGATGTCCTACTCTGAAGGCAGCTGATAACTATCAGATGGCCCCAGCCCCATCTCTGCCTCTGACGCAGAGCCCTCATCAGAGCCTTCCCCAGACTCCAGGACTGGCCCAGGTTCCTCCCCAACCTCCTCACTGTCCGAGTCTGCCGCCAGCTCCACTGACCGCTGGCGGGCCACAGCAGGGTGTTAGGAACCAAAGGCGTCAAACTCAGCAGAATATACAAGGGTAGAAATTCCACCCTCCTCCCCAAATAAAGATTGCGGGTTTGCTGCTCGGTCAGTTTTTCAGCCTGTCCCTTCCACAGCATCTCAGCAGCTGAGAATTTGTAAAAAAAAAAGGGGGGGGCCTCAGGCTTGCCCCTCCCCAGCTGTCAAAGTGAGAATGGAAGGGAAATTGCCAAGGTGTCCGCCTTGATGGGAAGGGGTGGGGCAGGAAAGCTTCTCTCCTTCCCCCTCCGCTTTGCACCTGAAGCCTTTCCCCTCTCGATGTGTTGACAGTAATTAAAAATGCCACACTCTCTTTCTCTCTCTCTCTCTCTCTGTCTCTCTTTCTCGTTCCCATTTCCTGCAACCTCTAGCTTATTACCGGAGGGGCGGGGAAGAGAGAAACGACGGTGCTCTTGAAACTGGAGGGATTTTGTTTTCCTTCCTCTCCGGCAGACTTGAAGCACACACACACACACACACGCGCATACGCACATACACACACACACGGATCGGGGAAGGGGATGACAGACAGTTGGTGCAACGGGGCATTCTCTCCTGGGAAGTTGGGGGTCGTTCGGCTGCTGAACTTGGGTGGGCTTGTCAGTCAGTGGCAAGGGGGGGTATTGGCAGAGGGAAGGTTGCGGGAGGGGGTCGGGGGAGTTTGAAAGTCTAGACAAGGTTGCCTCCTTCCCTGGGGTGGGGAGTGGGGGAGGTTGCAGGAGCTGAGTCCAGTCTCTTCTCTGCTCCGTTAACCCCTCCCCCCCCCCAATGAACGGGTCTCCATGCCGGAAAGCAGGTGAGCTTCCTGTGCTGGAAAAAGGGGAATTTCCAGTTCTTGGCACTAGGCAAGAAAAGTGCATTTTTGTCCTGACCGCAAAAATCACCAGGCTCCTCGTCCCGACAAAGCCCTTTGTTCTTAGGCTAAATGTGAATTTCTATCATTCACACCCAGCAAACGGTCCTTTTCAAGGGTAAAATTACAACCACAGACTTCGATCAGGTTTGGAGAGCTGCCAGGCCAATAGCTTCCAAACGCCACGCCGTAGCAGACAATGCTTGGCAAGGAGTGAGGAACACCGTAATGAATGGAACTAATTGTTTCCTGCAAAACCCCACTCCCCTTTCAGTCCTCTTTTATTCCCTCTGGGAGGGGCCATTCACCGGCTACCTTTGCCTTTACTCCCGAGTCGATCCTTGTTCCTTTACTGTTCCCTTCTCTTGGCAGCTCTGTGCATGCGCACACTGGGAACAGGCTCCAGCTGTTCTTCTTCCCCACTGATGTCCAACTCTGAAGGCAGCTGATAACTGTCAAATGGCCCTGGCCCCATCTCTGCCTCCGACGCAGAGCCCTCGTCAGAGCCTTCCCCAGACTCCAGGACTGGCCCAGGTTCCTCCCCAACCTCCTCACTGGCCGAGTCTGCTGCCGGTTCCACTGGCCGCTGGTAGGCCACAACAGTTTTAAAGAGAGCGGATTGGCTTAAAATCAGGCTTGGGGCTTGGAAGTGTGCCCCTCAGCACGGTGCTGGGATGACCTCCTTCCCAGTCTTCCTTCTTCCTGTCCTTTCGCGCGGAATCTCCTTGTGGCCTCCCATCCATTGACGAACAAGGATTTTCTTGGTTTTTAGAAAACTAGGAGCTGTCAGCTCGGACATTTCAGGTGCTGATTATGGTCGTAAGATGCTTGCCATAATGCGTAAGATTATGATCGTAGGATGCTTGTAAGATGGAAAGCACTACGGTTGTGCTTCCAAACAGCCTTCGAATCTTTGACAGTGGTAGTTTGTGGCAGTAAATAAATTGCTCTTCCCCTTCTGCAGCCTGGATTTTTCCATCAGGTGGCAGCTTTCTCTGGCCCCAAAATGTCGCTGAAATGTTTCATACAAAAGTGATGTATAAATAGCATGAATTTTAAAAAAAGAGACAGAGAAAAATCGGCGAGGCTTCTTCCAACTCCCACGAAGCATTTTAGTCTTTGCTTTGCAGCTAAAAAGTAAAGAGACGTTTAAACCGGCTCTGCTTTTGATGTCCACTTTTTGTTACCAAGAACAAAGTTTTCTTTAATCAGATTTGTTGATAAAGAAAAGGCAATGATGTCACACAAGTCTCAACAGTGAGATATGTTCCCTTGAGCACTTAAATTTGGCGAGACTTAATTTTATTTTTTAAAGAGAGGTGGAGTGGGGGGGAAGATGCAGAACCCTGGATAAAAATCTTCGCCCCCCCCGCTCCCCAAAAATTTCAGAAATAGTTCAATTCTGCTGCTTTGCATGCTAAAATGTGCAAGGCCCAAGTCAGTAAGGGATTGGACACTCCGTAAAATTGCAGACCCAATGGGCGCCAGATTGTTTCCTGGGCTCATATGGGCAGTACAGTATATCATGAGGACTAGATGCTTAACTCGGCAAAGGAAACGCCGCAATGCAAAATTGCGTTAGGTTTGCCAAGGCTCCCACTTCTTTCTCACGACTCATCTTTGCTTGCTTTTTTTTTCGGTTTTTGGCCTTTCCGCCCCACAGAAAACTCCCACACGCCCTTGTTGGAGGGCTCGGTGACACAGATGACTCCGGAAGAAGATTACCGGCGGTTGATGTCCGCACTCAACGAACACAGCACTTTCGAAGAGCAGCAACAACAACAGCAGCGTCTCTACCAGTTGGCCGGCGGGATATCCGTCCCGAGTCACAGCGGTGAGGATGGGGGAATTCTGGGAGTTGGAAGTCCCGCACGTCTTGAAGAGTGCAGAGAAAGATGATTTGGGGGGGGGGGGGGGGGGGGCTAAAACATAACGAAGGATGGTTGCCGGAATTGGATATATCTAGTTCAGTGATAAGAAGGACTAGTTCGATGATAGTTCAATCCTAGGTAGAGGCAGATAATTGTCTCTCTGGGCACCCTGAGAATATATCTGCCGAACAAAAACTCCGCCCTGGTGACAGGAAGGGCATCTGGCCAGTAAAACACTCGGCTCTATTCAGTTGCCTAGACTCCACCCTGCAAGGGATTATGGGGTTGTTAAATGTTGATGATGATTTGGGAGGGGTCTGATTGTAAATACAGGATGGCCACTTCTGATCAGTGTGAAGTTTTTTTGTCTGGGAAATGTTTTAATTCACCCTAGGTGCTCAAGAGGGTGCCTGCTGGGGGAACAAGGCTCAATTATAAATGGTACTTCTGCCAGGCAAAGCTCTCGATGATATGCAGACATCCCCAATGGCACCAACTCATCTTTAATTATTTAGGATTATTATTATTATTTTTTTGCTTTATTTATTTGTGGCTTAAATTACAGCGCCTTCTTCTTCCTTTTCTCCCCAACTCTCCATCCCCGCTCTAATTCCGCATTCCCCTCCTTGTAAATAGGTTTATAAGAGGGGTTCCCCCGCCCCTGTATATTTTATTAAGCTTGCATCAAAATGAAAGCGCAGAAAACCTTCTATACATTCATTCAGAGGGCAGAGCTTTTAGTTCAGCTAGCTCACCTCCCCAAAGGCCAGCCAAAACTTCTCTTGTCCCTTTCGAAGGGCCAAATTTTGGCTCGCCCGTGTGAGATTTCCCAGCGGGAGCCTCGGATCAGTAAATGGAACTTTCCACGAGCTCAGAGGCGCTCTTGACACCACGCGCAAAAGGATCAGCTGAAATCGCCGGCGAGCCTAATCTTGGTTTTAATTTGATTCCACGAGGGGTTGCGACGACTTATACTGGATTTATTCCTCTCGGCACAGATATCCTCCGGGCGCGTCAAGAGGTCGCCTCGCGAAACCCCAGCAGCCTAGAGCCTCACCTTCCCTCGGCCAGCAACTCGGCCAGCCAGCGCAGAAAGCAGGGGCTTCCACAGCACCGGGATTCGCACTTCAGCGAGAGGTATATCTCCACATCGGGCCCACTCCTACCTTTCGTACAGGTTGTCCTTGGCTTACGGCTTGTTTAAGCGACCGTTCCGAGTTAACGACGGCGCTGAGGGAAAGTGTTTTACAGTCGGTCCTCGCGCTTAGAACCGTGATCCCCGTTGGTGGCCCTGCTGGCTTCGGCAAGTCATTGGGGAAGCCGGCGGGAAAAAGGCTGCCACTGGGGATAAGCCGGCGGGAAAAAGGCTGCCTTGTGACGTCTCGCTGAGCCACCGCATCGGGAAAAACCAAAGGCTGGTTAAAACCAAGCATGGTCAAAGGAGGCCTGCCTTTCCTGACCACACTGACTGAGCCATAAGTTTTCCGGTTGCTAGCGATAGTCGTAAGCCGAGGACTGTCTTTATAGCTCTTTTGCAAAACTGGAAAAGCCTTGCCAAGATCTGTGGCTGGAACAAAAAGCCGATGGCAGGGAGATTTATGGCGTCTCCCTTTCTCCGGGAGGTGGGCGGTAATGCACATTGGGAGGGGGAGCGGTGTGGGGGGGGGGGACTGGAAGCCGCTTGGCGTGGTGCTAAAATTCCATTTCAGCTTCCTGTCGGACTCCGCAGGGATTCGATCTGCACAAGGGGAGCCATTGTGGCAGGAAGAATAATTAGCTGTTGAAAAATTCAGCCGCTTGCTGGAGGCAGCCAGAGAGAGGAGAAGGCGGGAGGGGGGGTGGGTGGGTGGGTGAGGGAGATCGCT